CCCTGGATTTGTATAAGCCTGCTGGTCCCCCACTGTGCTGAATGGGTATGCCCAGGTCATGAATTTGCCCAGAAATCGCAATGTACCACAGGCAGTTTGGTGATGTAACAGAAATACAAAAGGGTTTATTACATGGAAGAACAAATGGCATTAAAAAAAAAAAAAGGGGGGGGGGGGGGAGGGATCAGATACCTTGACTACAGTGAGGTATAAAACTGACAAAACCCTTTTCCTACATTCAGGCTGCCACTTCACCCACATAGCATTCCCTGGAAAATCCCCTGAGGTCAACCACCCCTCAGTCACAGTCCACCCGGGTCCTCCATTCCCCCCTTGTGGCAGGGAGTCCTCTCCTTACAGTCACTGCCCCAGGAACGCTCCACACAGCCTTCCCCTGACCTACCTTCAGAGGGACCAGAGCATCCTCTAGAGCACTTCTATCAGTGGATGTGACATCTTCCAGGGCTGGTTTCCCCTGGCAGCCATTAGGATCTGGTTGGTTCATACAATTATTCCATGCATAGCAGGTGCAGAAGATGGAACGGTCCTATCACGCTTTGGCCGTGTAACCCCTGAGCACTTTCCCTCTGCTGGCAGGTCTGATCAGCCAGCCATCAGCGATTAAAGCCTCTAGTTATACTCACCCGAGGTGGCTGCAACACAGCCAGGCCCCAGCCCCTACTGTGCCCTACCCCAGAGGCAGCTGTGCTCATGATGGGCAAGGATGCCTGCCCCAAGCCTCTCTCCACAGCCCCACTCTGCCCCCAGATCTGTGCACCTCCTCAAGCGTGGCCTGGTGAGTGAGGATGGGGCCCTGAGCACCTACAGCATCAAGGTCTTTGCTGGCTGGGACTTTGGCTTGACACAGCCACCTGCTGCCATCTGGAAGCACAACAGCATTCGCTATGAGCTGAAGGTGAGGCCAGGCACAGCTGGAGCAGAATGGGGGGAGGGGAGAGGGGCTGGTGTATGGACCAATGTCTACAGAGTTCTGCTGTAAAGACCAAGAGGTGGGGAGGGCTGGTGCATAGACCCATGGGTGGACAGGGGCTGGGGCATGTTGGAGGGGGATTCAGGGGGCCTGGCACAGGGGCTGGGTGGTTCTGCCCTCAGCCATACGTGTCCCCCCAGCTGGACCTGGAAGAGGAGGCTTCTCGCCGCGCCATGGCCCAGCGCAGCCCAGCCCAGCGTGCCTGGCTCTATACCCTGCGCAGCCTCATCAACCTACTGGTGGTTGCCCTGCTGGGAGTGGCTTTCTACTGCATCTACCTGGCCACTGAGTACTCACAGAGCACGCTCAGCCAGGTAACACCCCACCACAATGCTGGTACCTGTCAGTCCTGATGCATAGCCCCCAGCCTTCCTTGTCTTCAGCTCTCCCTGCCCTGCTGGTGCCCCTCACTCCCAACCCAAAGCTCCCAGCCCTGCCCTGGGCTCCCCCAGCCCCACTGGCGCCCCTCACTGCCATGGACAGGGCTGGTGTCCGCTCCCCAGGGCACTGTAGCTGTCAGGGGGCATGGGAAGGACCTGCTCTCACTGAGGCCTGTAGTTACCTCCCCCCATTTCTCCCCTGCAGCAGAGTGTCGCACAGTCCAAGAGCAAGGCTTTCTGGGAACTGCTGGTCTCCTACCTGCCCTCCATCGTCATCACGGGAGCCAACCTGGTAGTGCCTATGGCCTTTGGGGTCCTGGTACGCCTGGAGCAATACCCGTTCAGCCAAGAAATCAAATTAACCCTTGTCAGGTACCAGGGATGGGAGGAGCCCTGCCACATCCTGCCTCATTTTGCCATTCCATGGCCCCTCTAACCGCCTCTGTCTTCCTCCTCTGCCTGGACAGGAGTGTCTTCCTGCGCCTTGCCAGCCTTGTGGTCCTGCTTGTCTCCCTCTGGATGCAGATCACCTGCCACGGGCAGACCGAGGCCTTTGATTGCCGTACCTGTGGCTACAACCACCGGCACTTCCCGGTGAGGCCAGGGCACCTGGGTTGTCTCCCAGCTGGAGAAGTGGAGTCGGTTAGAATAGAGAGGCTGGAGGGAGCAGACCTGACTGCAAGGCAATGCCATGATGTGTCTCTCCACAGTGCTGGGAGACCCGGGTGGGGCAGGAGATGTACAAGCTGCTGGTGTTTGACCTGCTGACCATGCTGCTGGTGACACTGCTGGTGGAGTTCCCCCGCAAGTGAGAGGGGGTGGGACCTGGCAGGACAGAGGCTGGGGGATGGGCTGTGGGCTAGAAGGGCTGTGGAGAGTGTCCAGGGTAGGGTGGAAATGACTGGGGGAACTTGTAAGGGAGAGCTGGAAGTGGGGACGGGAGAAGCTTGTAAGGGATGAGCAGTTGGATGTGGGGGGAGGCTGGGCTGGGCTGGGTCAGGCTGGGCAGGGAGGGTGTAGGGGGGGGCAGGGAGGGTGTAGGGGGGTTCTGGAGAGTCAGGGCAAGGAGCCCATGGGGCTGAGTCAGAGAGCAGAGGGCCAGGCCCTGTCACCTCATCTCCCTCCCCCAGGATCCTGGTAAGCCACGGCCCTGCGTTGCTTGCCCGGCTTTGGGGGCAACAAGAGTTCCTGGTGCCCGCCAATGTGCTGGACCTGGTGTACGGCCAGACTGTGTGCTGGGTTGGTGCCTCCTTCTGTCCGCTTCTGCCCCTGCTCAACACCCTCAAGTACATCCTCCTCTTCTACCTCAAGAAGGTGCGCCCCAGATGCCTGGATCCTCTCCTGGCCCTAGGAGGAGCGGAGGGGTCTGGTGGGTTAGAGCAGGGCGGTGGGGCCTGGGAGCCAGGACACCTGGGTTCTGTCTCAGCTCTGAGAGATGAGTGGGTTAGAACAGGGAGCTCCAGGAGCCAGGACCCCTGGGTTCTGTCCTCCCCTGTGGACCCATCCCTTTCTCCCCTCCCCACAGCTCACCCTTTTCTCCAACTGCCGTCCTGGCGACCGGACCTTCCGCGCCTCCAGCTCCAACTTCTTCTTCCTACTGGTCCTGCTGCTGGGCCTGGCCATCTCCTGGGTGCCGGCACTATACAGCATCTTTGCGTGAGTCCAACCCCCACGCTGACAGTCCCACCCTGTTCCTGCTCCCCTCTCTGATCTTCCTGTGCCAGAGGGAGCAGGGGTGGGGCAGTGGCATCACTCAGTGCCTGGCTTGTTGCCCAGGGGCTGAGTCCTGTCACCCACCCTTGCCTCTGGTTGCTACAGCCCCAGTCCTTTTCACTCCTTGCCTAAGGGCCAAGGTCCTACTCTCTCCCATGTCCAAGTTTTCCTCTCCTCTCCCTGACCAGTCCCCCCTCTCCTCTTTCTCTTATGCAGCCTCCCACCGTCCCAAGCCTGCGGCCCCTTCCGGGCTGAGCCATCTATGTGGAATGCTGCCTTGTTGGCCATTGACGGGCTGCCTGAGCTGGCCAGGGGTTTCTTCTACTTTGTGGGCTCACTGGGCTTCATCGTGCCGCTCTTACTGCTCCTGTGGTGAGAATTTAGTCTGGGCTGAGGAGGGCTGAGAAGGCTGGGGAATCTCCCTCGGCTGAGAGTACACAGAGAGCAGGGATGCTGTGGGGATGGTGAAGGAGTCATATACGCATGTGCACAGGTGCATACCCACACACATGCACAGCAGCGCCTCTCTCCCAGTCCACAGAGCTCCCTTTCCCTCCTCTCAGTACCCCCTGCCAGGCCCCTGCCCAAGCCATCACTTGATGCCAACCCCTAATTCAGTCCCTGCCGGTCCCCTCCTCCCCCACAGCATCTTCCTGTTCTACCTGATGGCTCTCGCTGACTCCTACAGCCGCCTGGTCAAGGAGCTCAAGATGCAGCTGCAGCTGGTGAGTCACATCCTGGGGCTAGGGCAGGGTTCTGGCTGCCTGGGATGGGGATGGAGAGGGGTACGTTCCCCACTACTGGCTCTGATCTGGGATCTAAGCCCCAGGAACAGCACTAACCAGCAGGACACCCTGAAGAGTGAAGCCAAAAGCTTCATCTTCTTGCTGCTGACAAGGAAACTTCCCCCATGGGCATAACTGTGCCTGCTTTGACCACTAGCCAGGTTCCTGGACCTGGCATACCGGGGAGGTGGGCCCCTGAGATAAGTGAAGGCAGCAGTACTGACCCAGCTGGGTTTCGCTCCCCTTGCAGGAGGGCAGAGACAAAGTCTTCTTGGTGAACCAGATCACAGAGCTGAGCTGAGGGGGCACCATTTGCTCCCCACCCCCCCGCTGATGGGGGAAACTCTCCTCCAGTTGATTTCATGATGATTCTGCACCTGCCCTGGATCTGCACCTGCCAAAGCAATTGCACTTCCCCATGCCAAACCCTGGCCCCAGTGGATGGAAGCTGTAGTCACTGGGACAGCACCAAAGTTTTTGAGGCTGTACGTAGAAATCTCTTAGCTGACCCCGAGCTGCAGCCATCTCTGGGGTGGGGCACGGAGACCTGTTAAGAAGCACACAGTGACACTGCTCAGTTTAGTCCTGGAAGCCAAGGAAACAGCTATAAGTCAGTGGTGCTCAACCTATGGCCTGCGGAGCTCCCCACAGGTTTGGGAATTTGGCAACAGGGAAGTGGTAGCAGCGTTAAGGGCTGCAGCTCCGGCTGCCACCGTTCCCCCTGGTGCCAAATATCTAGATCCATGGGGACCCCCCTGGCACTGGATGATATGGATCGCACCCATGGACTGCCCCTGTGCTGGATCAGCCCCACAGACAGACCACATGCGTGGGATCCAACCCATGAACTGGCCCCGTGCCATTCATCCTGTCCATCACAGAATCACCAAAAGCCATAGAAAAGTTGGGCTGGACAAGACAGGCTGAGTTCTCCTGCTGTAAGTGCCTGGAACATCAGGGTGAATAAACAGGAGGTGAAATTCAACAGCTGGGAACCGGAAACAATCAAACCTCCATCCATACCCAGGTGAAGTCCATTGGCCTCCAGATGTTATGGGTTTCCCCAGGCAAGCTGTTAGCAGGGATCGTGGACCACAG